CATACTCTCTCTAATTCATACCAGAACATTGAATATATATATATATGTGTGTATGTGTGTGCCAATGTGTATGATTGTGAGTAGCCTTTGTAAAAGTGTTCCTGAAAAAGAAACAAAATGCCCTGTAAATTAGCCACAAAGAACACTAATACTCTTTTCCATGCAAAAAAAGTTACATACTTCCTCTCTGGGATATTTGTCTCCCTTTTCGTCCCTGCAGGCATGGAACTTTCCATTGAAGAGTTGTACTCCCATGATACCAAAGATTAGCCAGAACACGAGACACACCAGCAACACATTGCAAATGGAGGGAATCGCCTTGAACAGAGCATTCACAACCACCTGTGGGAAGAGTACAAACACACCAATGGCATTATGCTTTAACCCTGCCACAACTGTTTACTTTACTTACTTGAACTGAAAATTTTGCACAATGCAAATAAACCCTTCCGATGTAAAAGTTGTAGAAGCGCATAGAGCATGCTGTAGAGTGTGGAAATGCTTTATATAAATTATGTAATTATTATTATACTGCACGTTGACTCCTAATTTTTATTTAGGCCTCAGAAATTGGTCTCAACAATGGTTCTATAACAAAAAAGTCCAACCTATACATTTCAGATACATTATGGTAAGAGCATGATACAATCAATGTGCGATACAGTCCAAAAAAAGTTATCACAGTGGAATGATGCTTTTCATAATTTAATTTGACTCTATACACACAGAAATGTGTCATGATGTGTTGGAATCAGCCGCTCATCAATTTTTGGGCTTTTGCAGTTATTGGTATCACCAAAAAGCTTGCTTATTTGCCCTTCTTTTGATGAAAAAAATACCCATGTATCTTGAACAGAAGTTGAGACATTGAGAGTAAAAAAGGAGGGAGATGCCTGGTGTAAGAGGGAAAATAAGCAAGAAAATGGCTGCCAAAGACAGAGAGTTCCAGAACTGTAGGATCCTTGGAAACTGAAAATTTACAACTCTTGTGTCTTTGATGAACATTTTTTGTAAACTATATGCAGGAATGTGTTTTTAATTGGACATGCAGAGCCCTCAACAACAAAAAAACTCGATTGAAATGACTAAATTTGAGGAAAAATGTTGGTCTCTTCAGTTTCATTATTGTGATGAGCGTCTGATTTCACCACGATGGCACACATAATATTACAGTAATATTCCACTTTAGCCTGGATATATCCTGCTTAAGACTGGATGCACAAAAAGGAAAGAAAATAAAAATATGACATACTCTCATGCCCTCCCATCGACTGACAGCTCTGAGGGGACGTAACGCTCTCAGCGTCCTCATGGATTTCATCCAGCTCATGCTTCCTCCACCTTCCTCAGAGGCCGTCAGATCTGCCACCAGCATCACAATGGACAACTGAGGGCACACAGAAACACATAAAGCAAAGTTATATTATGTTTTTTAAGTATGTGTGTGTGTGTGTGTGTGTGTGTGTGTGTGTGTGTGTATGTATGTATGTATGTATGTATGTAAGTATGTATGTATGTATGTATGAATGATGTATGCATGTTTGCCATTGCAAACCAATTTGCCATTCTGGAATTAATAAAGCTGTAATTCATTTCTTTATTATTTTATTTCAGTAAGCATTGTGCTGCATTTATTACCCAATTAGGTTATCAGGCCAAAGATTAGAGGTGTTACAGGAGAGTATCAAACACAAAAAAGAAGTAGGAGAGATAGGGACGATGGTTGTTTGATAGGGAAGAAGGAGCAAACTACACCAGAGCATCCGCCAACCCCCCATAAAGCAAAGTTAGAATAGATGGCCATTGATCATATATATATATATGATCAAATCAGATTTGTTTGGGTAGGGCAAAAAGATGTCTTTTGCACTCTACATCAAACTGATCTCTATTTTAGATCGATTTCATCAAATTTGACCCAGACATCATTTACAGCCTGTCACATTAAGCTACAAACAAAATATCTGACCATGTAATGTTATGTGACAATGACTAGCTCTGTAATTTTTTTTTAAGGTAAGTGTTTTAGTGTTTTATGGTGCTCGCAACTGCATAAGGTCATATGAGTGTGCGGGACACACTAATTTTAAATATTTATTTCAGTTGGTAGAAAATTTTGAATTTTGCCAGGGTGGAGGTCGAAGCCTACTCTTATCGATTTTAGACCACCAAGGGATCTTTAACAAGCGAAACTTGCTCACGGGACCTCTGAGATTTTTCACCCTAGTCTGAGAAGGCTAGGTGTAGATCTTTCCTACCAGAAGATCAGGGGTGTTGCTGAAAGACAGCAGTAAGAAGCCAAGGAGGTTTAAGCAGTAGAAAGGCTACAGAAAGAGTCAGGAGCCAAGAGGAGGGGGCAAAGCAGTTGAGAGGGTGGGGGCAGAAAGTGGAGACGAGAGCAGACGACAGAACATTGCTGGAGAGCTGGAAAGGAAGTGAAAGGAGACAATTTATAGAGAAGAACATTTTTCCGCCGCTAGGACCTTAGAATGAGATGCAAACACCCTAACCTCTAGGCCAAGAGAGACCCCCTTTGTAATTTCCTGATTTTATCAACTGGAGCTGATTGTAACCCAGGAAAGCAAACACTTGATTTTTGAGGATTTGATTAAACTGTACCATCATGGCAGCTTTTGCCCCTCCACAAAGGAAAATCTGGCTGCTCTCAACTGTATCAAACCATATCAAATAGAGATCTGTTGAAATTTTCTGTAGTGTGCACTGATCATAAGTTTACAAATGTTAACGCATTCGTACAGTTTTATGGCCACTTTAAGATGCACAATATTAGATATTAGACTATTTTTGAGTTTGGAACACTTTGTGGAAAGACATAATGTTAGGCAACTGGGACACATTCTAGGAGGATATAGGGAACAACAATATATTGGGGTCAAAACCTTAAAGAGGCAAAGTTTATTATCAAGTTTTCTCTGACGAGTGTGCACTGGACAATCATATTATTCCTTCTCCTCTGAACTAATCATGTAGACCTATGAAGAACAAATCATGGCCATGCCACTTCTGAACATTTGTCAACTTTTATATATTGCTTTGTGAGTACAACCCATTTTAAAGACAAACAGGTTGTGTGAAACAAATGAATAACAGTGTTCTCTTTTGAATGCCGGGTGAAATATGTGACAGACAGAGAAAGTTGCAGGAAAAAGAGGGAAAGAGAGAATGATTTCTTCTTCTGTGTTATGTGATAATTTTCCCTAAAGTGTACAGAACATATTTCTCCTTAAATGTATCAGAGTGCCCTACCATGACAATTGTGAAGTCTAGCCAGCACCATGCATCTGTGAAGTAGGTTTTGAATCCAAATGCCAGCCACTTGATCAACATCTCAATAATAAAGATGGCAGTGAAGACTTTGTCCAAATATTCCAGGATTTCCTTCAGAATTGGTTTCTCATGCAGGTATGCATCTTCCAGGGCCTGAAAAGTAACAATCAATAATTATTAAGAGACTATAATAAAATGTAACATATGAGCAGAGGTAATCCCTTAAAGTTAAAGGGAACAATATGAAAGTACGAGGTCTGAGCAGTAGCTCAAAATTTGTGCTGAAGCTTTAAGAGAAAAAAAGAGTGATTGAAGCTAAAAAAAAATCGAAACAGTTGGTGTTCTACCAAGTCACTAGGAGAAGCCACAGCATTAGAAATTGTGATTAGTTTATTTTTATCCTTATTTTGTAGATTGTGGTAGAGACAGCTCAATTACTGGAATCTCCTCTAAAGATCCCCTTTTTTTGCCTCCCATTGTGAGGCAGCGTGGTGGAATCAGGCTCTTGTCAATTTTGGGGCATGTAGAGTTATTGGTATCATCTTAAAACTTGTTCACTTGTACTTATTTGGATGAAAAAAAAATTCATTTATTTTGAATACAAGTCGAGATATTTGCAAAAGAAGGAGGTGAGGGTTACCTGTTTTCAGGGGCAAATTAGTGAGAAAATGGCCGCCAAAGATTAGTTATTTCCTTAGCTTAAGAGTCCATGGTAACTGAAAATTGACATTTTTT